CCTGGCTAACACGGTGAAACCCCGTCTCTACTAAAAAAACAAAAAACTAGCCGGGCGAGGTGGCGGGCGCCTGTAGTCCCAGCTACTCGGGAGGCTGAGGCAGGAGAATGGTGTGAACCCGGGAGGTGGAGCTTGCAGTGAGCTGAGATCCGGCCACTGCACTCCAGCCTGGGTGACAGAGCAAGACTCCGTCTCAAAAAAAAAAACAAAAAACAAAAAACAAACAAACAAAAAAAAACTGCATGTTTACAATTTTCTATTTGGAAATTTTAAAATGCATGGCACGAATGAATCATGAAATAGAGATTCATTTATTTCATATTCTATATTAAAATGCTGATGTAGAATATCTTTAGATAATTTTATGTGATAAAGTTATTAAAGTATATTAAAGGTTATTTGGTAACTTTATGTGAAGGTTGGTAAAATGCTGTAAAGATTATTTATTTAAGAAAATATTTCAAAATAATTAACCTGAATAGTGAAATTGATTTTAGCAAAAATAATAATTTTGAAAAGCTAATAAGAAATGCACCATATATGTGAAGATTGTTAAGGGACAAATGTGTATGTTATTTGTAAAAAAAAAAAAGAATTACTTTTTAAAAAGTTACTGAAATATAGATATCATTGTCATAATTTACCTGGAATATACTAAGAAAAACATTGCAAAATCACTGTAAAAAATGTAACGGTATATATTACTAAGTTCATCTTTATTTGGTTCATTGCAGAGCTCATATTGGTAAAATTGAATATCAACATGTTTTCTCTTTGTGTATTTCAAGTGATATACTCCCTTTGACACACAAAAAAGGTGTTATGGTACTATATCAAATGTCAAGTTACAAAAAGTAATAACATAGTAAAAGTTGCAGTATACCTAGGAGGAAAATGACAGTGGACAAAGTAACTAGTTTAAGTTTTTAAGTAAAAAATAGTTCCAGGATAGCAAATGTTAATTTAGTATCAAGTTAATGATTTTATAAGTTGACATATCTTGAAGATTTACTTAAGTTTCACATTAAATAATGATATTAATGAACTGTGAAATTACGGTATATATAAATGCTACTAATTTTGAATATTAGGAAATAACAAAAATATTGTGAAGTATAAAGTTTGCTCTGAAGATGTAGCAGTATTAAAATTATTAAATAATACGGAGCCAAATAAAAATTGCCATTTAATAGAAATCCAAAATAACACTTTAATTTACATATCAATAGGTAGCTCCTATAGTAATAAATATCTAAACATAAAACACAAAATTACAAGAGTATCAAACAATACAACTAATGCAGACTAAATATGGTAAAAATGTTATAAAAACTAAAAATAATCAAGTTGTAGTAGGTTTAGGATGTTTTGGTTATTTTCCTCATTTAACAGTGAGTGGATATCATGCAAAAATTTGTGGACAGTCTTATTAACAGTACTAAAAGATAAATAAGAAATGCAAGCTCCTTGAACATTAAGAGAAGAAAAAAATGTCCTGACATTGAATGAATTGTGGGAAAACATTTATTACTGCCCCTCTTCTCAATGTAATTAAGAACTGTGAAATATTTTGATCTTTCATAGCTAGGATGTCTAAACCAGGAAATGATTTCTAAAGGTCATTGCTGACACAAAGGCTCTTCTTTTTATAAATCTGGTAAATGTTCAAATATATACGTTAAAACATGCCTTAATTGGCCGGGCCCGGTGGCTCAAGCCTGTAATCCCAGCACTTTGGGAGGCCGAGACGGGTGGATCACGAGGTCAGGAGATCGAGACCATCCTGGCTAACACGATGAAACCCCGTCTCTACTAAAAAAAAAAAATACAAAAAACTAGCCGGGCGAGGTGGCGGGCGCCTGTAATCCCAGCTACTCGGGAGGCTGAGGCAGGAGAATGGCGGGAACCCGGGAGGCGGAGCTTGCAGTGAGCTGAGATCCGGCCACAGCACTCCAGCCTGGGCGACAGCGCGAGACTCCGTCTCAAAAAAAAAAAAAAACAAAAAAACAAAAAAACATGCCTTAATTATTAAAACAAATCCAAATGTTTCCTACATATGTGTTTATTCTAGTACTCCTATTTCAGAAAATTTACTTGAAAAGAATTTCATAGGAACCTCCTCCTGCAGAAGCAAATATTTTATATTGATCACTCTCACCTGGAAACATATTAGAAGCATATTTGCATCATGTATAAAATTTGCTTTTCTCTTTGGCTCTTATTTTATGTATTTTCGTAACCCTATGCTTTCCCATAGTTTTATCGTTGTTATGTATTTATAATAAATATTAGCTTTTTATTAATTTGTATATTATTTATCTAAAAAAATTGTACTCATCTGGAACAGAGATTTTATTGCAAAGTTTACATTTTTGCTTGTTATTAAACGTGGACTAATGGCAAGTTAAATTTATTAAAATCAGGAAGCAATTATCTTAAAGGCCTGTGCAAGCAATCACAGAATAAGCTATAGCTCTGTGCAAAGCTACAAACACACACACACGTACACACAATGTGTACATATTTTGTTGGTCAGAATACAGCAAACACTTCTTAAGACATTTTATTTAAGGCATTTTAAGTATAAATGGAAACTACTCAATTATTTCTTACTTAACTGCCGAACAGCATAACTATTTTTTTACTGTGTTCATTGTAAAGATAAAAATCTTGGCCAAACACAACAAAAATTTATACATAAGTGCCAATTTCCACGTAGAGTCATCAGCATTAATTTTATACATCATTCCTTTCCCCTTTGCTCTCAATTCATTTTAGTGTGATTAAAATTTTATGATTATATTATAAAAGAATTGTATTATACATTATACATTAAAATATTTCAAGGCTACTCCACTTCTATATACATTCGTAAAGGCTTCTAAAAAAGAAAATTGGCATGGGGCATATTCTGAATAATGGAAATGAAATAAGTGTTTTAACTCTCTATGCCTAGAAAAAAAATTCACCTTAACAGGTACCTCAGTATGATTGGCTACAGAAAACTCAGAGCTGAAGAGTTGCAATCACAAAGGGTCTCTGCCCGCTCTCCACCTCAGTTCCTTCACACACTGACAATGTGAAAGGCTGTGAGAAAGCTAAGAACGCACAGGTCACACACTGTCTTCAGTAGGAGCATCACTGTTTGGTCTGCTCACGGTGGTAGACGTAGGCCTGCTATAGCACAAATCATTTACCAAGAATCAAGAATACTTACCTCGGGGTCATACAGTAACTTAAATCTGATAATAGAAAGGTAGCAAGGAGCTGGCTCATAAGTGAATGATGTATTGCCACTGAATTTTGTTAAAACTATTATTTGTCTCTGGATTTGTTTCACTTGCTAATATTTATAGAAAGAGGCACAAGGTAGCCTAAGTATGAAGGGAAGTTTTCTATAATGTTATGACAGTCATTTATTTTTAATGATATTTTCTTATTTTTTGTACTACTAATTACCTTAAGATAAAAAGTCATTATTAAAAGCCTTATGTATGTATCACATTTGCAAAATCTCGTGCTATGTCTAGTAGTACAAAGACTTTCAAAGAAATTAGCTTTTTCCAAATTCCATTCCTGATAATATACGAAAATAAACACATAAGCAAAATAATATTCAATATGCCATTTCAAATGTGAATCTTTAGAAAATTCTTTAAATTGATAATTGAAAAATTACATAGACATTTACTCACCTGCCTCCAAATTTTGATACAATATTTAATACCATTTTGGCTTGTGTTCCTTATAGATTAATCATCTGTTTCCTAATTCTTATATAAAGGTATCCTATCCTAAATTTCAGGTTGGCTGGATATGATTTATTAAAGTTACATGATCAATGAACTTCAAAAATGAAAGAGAGAAAGAGAAAGAGAGCAAAAGAGGGAGAGAGAGTGGTGGGTAGAGAGAGAGACGGAAAGAGAAATAAGAAGAAAGGTTAAAAATTGAGAGAGAGAAGAAAAGGGGTGATGGAGAAACAAGACACCTTCATGCAGGTCAATTCAATGCACACAATAGAACACAGACATATGCCAGACACTGTGCTGTTGATTGTTTCAGTGTTTCCAATGAGCCATCTGCTGTTTTTTGCAACATAAGAATGGAATTCTAAATTCAGTAAAGAAATGATGCACGAAAACATTTTGATTTGTGGATGGAATTCGTTAGGGAAGATCCTGAAAGATTGACAAAGTTGTTTTTCTTTTAAATATAAAATGTTAAAAACCAAGACCCTATTTTTACTACCAGCAAATAAATCAATGGCCTTTTTTAGAACCGTTAAAAGCAGAGTTTTTTTGTGTGTGCCAAACCTCAAGCAAATGGCTGATGCTTCCAGCTGTTTGAACAGATTGCTAAAGTGCTGCTCTGCTCTGGAAACACACTCTCCGATCCAATTAAAATTCAAGAATCAAATACTCATTTCAAACATCCACCCCCCCAAAAAAAAACACTCAAGAAGAATAATTGGTTGCTGACAAAAGTAATACCATGAATATTTCATATGCAGTCTTTTGCTCCATTTTAAAGAGGCTTCATTCATTTTAGATAACAGCGAAATGCTTCTGTACATCTGTTTTCAATGAGGCATAATGTGTCATCTCAGCTCTTATTAGGATGTGGAGGTCAAGGATAGGAGTAAATACATTCTTATCAAGGTACTGTCTTCACATTTGGAAATATTTGTAAAAATGCACATTGTATCATGTATGATTATAAGACTGACTCCAAAGTTGCATGCATCACTATTATTACTAACTTTATTTCTTACAGAACAAAGCAGAGATGTTTAGTTAACCCAAAATATCTCTAAATTTAGAAACTGTGAATTCACTTAAGTAAACTAAACTTCAGTCTGTACTGTTGAGAATTATAAGTAAATTTTAAAAGAAAATTTCAGTAAGCTACACAAATTAGCAAACTAATTACTTAAAATTAATTTATAAAAAGTGTATACTCATTTAAGTGTTGAAGTATGTTACAGGTAATAAGAATCTCACCTGTGTTTCCTGGCCAATCTGGTCAACATTAGTCAGCAAAGCATCTGGGAATAAAATGTTCAGTGTCATAAACAATTCATTTTTTAAAAGAAATAGATTTTAAAAACTTCTTATGAAATCTTGGTAAGACTTCATACCAAGAATTAGCAAAGATTTATCTAAAGATTTTTTTTAAAAAACTTACCAGTTCATGGGTTAATTGCAATTGACTTTTATAATATTTCAGTTCTCTGTGACTACTTTCTTATTCCTGATGCTTAAAAACATAGTTTTCAAAAATGTTATTCTAATAACTAAAATGAGTGATTTTCAATATGGATTTGGTATTCGTGACAGAGTTCAATAAGATAATCAAGTTTCTGTTCATTTTCTTTCTTACAGTTGACATTTCATGTATAAAGATTCATATGAATAATATGCAAAAATACATCAAGGAAAAAAGAATTCAAAGCAGAAAATATAGTTTAACTATGTGCACCATATGGAGTATAAAATAATCATTTACAATATTAACCATCATTCAATACCCATCATTCACTCCCCAAATAATAGGTAATGTTTCAACAAGTACCTGTTCATCCTTATGTAAGACACTAGCAATCTCAATACAAACATCTTTCCTTTAAATGTTTATATGTAGGTTCCAATTGCCTATACAAATTTAATACCATTACATAAACCTGTGCAGCAAACATTCTATTTTTTCCAAAATGCATTATTTTCAAGCAAATACGTCTAATCATTGAGAAGTGACACATGATAGAAAACTTAGTTAAGTCCTTCTTAGGATTCACAGCTGAGTGTCACGAGACTGAGACAAATTGTTTTTTACAAAACTTTCAGCACAAATATTCATGTAAATATACAATGGCCTTTGGAGATTAGATTTTACATAAAATCATAATAGATGTTCACATTATAGATGAAAAAATGATTACAGAATTGAATTCTGGTAGAACCAATAGCCAACATAGTATATTTCATAACCTCCTTGACTTTACTCAAATATTTATTTATTAGACATATGCCAGAGCAGAAACATATGTACATAGCCTATGTGTCAGGTAAGGTTAAATGTTCAACTACTTCCAAACACAAGTACTTTAAATGAAAGGGCCGTCATGGCTTATTCCTGAATGAATGTGAAAATATTTTGTTTTTGTTTTCAGACATCATGAACATAACAATCACCAAGTTTGAAATGGATGAAAATAGGTTGTAGAGATGGTTATCATTAAAAAATGCAGAAAATTAAATTTGTACTTTATATTCTATTGTCACCTGAGAAGTAACAGGTATAATTTTTACAGTTTTTCTGGGAGAAGTTCTCTAGCCAGTCCATTTAAATCTATGTTTTTCATAGTAATTACAATTCAATCTATATTGCAGGACACAAAATTATGATTTTAGCTGATTAATGTTATGAATATAAATATTTATATGTCTATATAAGTATATAGACAGATATTTGTTGAGCACATATATATTTATACAAATGTATGTGATGTATATATTTATTCAATGTTAACTTTAGTTCCTAAATTTTGACTTTGAAAGTGCTGAACATAATCAGAAGACAATGATTTTATGCATACCATTACACTTACCAGAGTAATCAGTGATTATTTTGTTCTGTTGAGTATCTGTGTAATTTGATGAAATCCCCAATGCATTAACAGTACCTTAATGAGGTAATTTACTACTTAAATATACTCCTGGTTATAAATTGTTACTTTTTATATCCCTCTTCAGATAACACCACATTTTTAGGATTGCTCAATCACAACAATATGTTTACCACTATTTATTTATTTATTTATTTAGAGAGAGTCTCTCTCTGTCACCAGACTGGAGTGCAGTGGCACAATCTTGGCTCACTGCAACCTCTCAGTCCGGAGTTCAAATGATTCTCCTGCCTCAGCCTCCCGAGTAGCTGGAATTACAGGTGTGCACCACCATGCCTAGCTGATGTTTTGTAATTTTAGTAGAGATGGGGGTTTCACCACGCTGGCCAGGATAGTCTCGATATCCTGACCTTGTGATCTGCCTGTCTCGGCGTACCAAAGTGCTGGGATTACAGGCACGAGCCACTGCGCCCGGCCTACCACTCTTTTTATTTTAAGTGGTCTTCTTTACCCTGCTACATGAATTGATTGTTTCTGTGGAAAAATATAATAATAAATAAATACATAAATAATAAAAATGTGAACAAACTAATTTTATTCACAATCCCAGCATGTATTTATCTAGCACGGGAAGAAAAAGACTGGGCAATCTGTCCTTTGAAAGTAAAAATTCAAACACTAATTTTGATTATTCTTTTCTCAATGCCATTTCAAAAATGACATATTTCTTGTCTATAAATTTACTTAAATATCATTAACATTGTAAGGTAAAGTGTTATTATCAGCAACATAAGAGGATAAGAAAAATATCCTTTTCACATACAATCCACCTCTGTGCAGAAGTCCTTTTCTCAGAACACTTCACACTCACACAGAAGCATACATTGTTAAAGTAAAATCACTGGACTGTTCTTGAAACGAGGGAAGGCTGAGCAAGGGAAAGATAGTAGATAGTCTCCATTCTGTCTAACATAAATGAACATTGTTTTCTCAGCATTATAAAATGCAACTGGAAATCAACTATGCTGAGAAGACAATGGCTTGTATTTGTTGTCTCCTTAAGAAATGTCTCATATGCTTCACAATTCTACCCAAAAGATGATACTTTATATTTATGGATTTGTTAAACTATTGGAATTTAAAAAATCATAAGTTTATTGCTATAATGAAAGAGAAAAACTTAAATTTAAGAACTAAAAGGTGGCTGATGTAAATTTTAGGGCAACTTTTAAAGTTTTTTAGCTTTATAAATGATATATTTTATTTTCAAAAATACAAGCAAATAAAATAGTAAAATTTATATTGGATGCAAGTACTTTAAATTAAAGAGAAAATACATTACAAAACTTAAAGAAAAAGATTTCTGGAGACAAATGGAACACATTTATGTTTTTTAATTGTTTACAAATTTGTGGAGAAAAGTATGCATCTTTCAAAGATTAGACTTACTATGTTTAGAGATTTCTTACAATGGTTCAAAACTTATATTCCAAAATTTTAAGTAAAATATATCTACAAAGCGGGTAAAAACCCACTGTTTTAAAGCATGAAACAACTTACTAAGACCTCCACTGACTCCTTTAATGGTTACCAAAAAAAGGGGGGGGAATAAATTGGCCACAGTTTGAGTGTTACTGTGTCTACTTAATTAATTAATTAATTAATTAATTAATTAATTTTTTTTTCTTTCTTTTTGAGACAGAGTCTCTCTCCGTCACGCAGGCTGGAATGCAGTGACGGGATGTCGGTTCACTGCTACCTCCACCTCCCGGGCTCAGGCGATTTTTCCCACCTTCGCCTCCTGAGTAGCTGGGACTACAGACTCCTACCACGCCCCCAGCTAATTTTTGTGTGTGTTTTTACTAGTAACAGGGTTTCACCACATTAGCCCAGCTGTTCTCGAACTCTGACCTCAAGTGATCTGCCCATGTTGGACCCTCAAAGTGCTGGGATTACCGTGTGAACTACCGTGCCCGGCCACTATGTCTACTTTAAATTGTTGTATTTGATGTTTTTATGTATTTATATATTTGTAGACTTAAAATAAATAATATCCATCAAACTAAAATATACTGCTTTTTAAAATGTGGGGCCACGTTAGATGCTTCATTATCCCTTTATGACACTACGGTAATAATAGCTTTGTATTTTCAATTGGGGAACAATTATTCGAAAGGAACAAAAATAATGCAGGAACACAATTTAAAAAAATGTTTGAAGTAAACATCGTTAATACATGCATAACAGGAAACACATTATTTTGTTTGTTCTCACATTGAACAAGCTGAAACTATAATGTAAAATGACAAAAATAAAAGAAAAATAATTAAGAATGAGGAAGCAAAAATAACATATAAGTATACATAATCTTCATATAGTCAGAAACAACAAACAGCAAACCAGATGCTTCAGATCACATATATATGACTGTTTAAATGAGAAATAAAATAATGAATGACAGAAAGCAAAACAAGAAAAGGACAGAGAATTTGTTGCTTATGGTAATATAATATTTAGATCACAAATCTGTATTGTACTAACTAATGAAAACTCTTATTTCCACACCTTACTCCCTGGCCATATTTATCTATTCATTTACTCATTTATTCACCTAAGCAAAAATTACGTTTCAGACATCAGGATAGGTAATATTATCCCCAACTTTTCCATAGACTTACTTTTCAGTCACTTCACACTGCAATTACTTTAAGCAAAAATTTCTTCATATGTTTATAAACAAATACAAAAAAAGATTGATCTTCTTGATAAGTCAGTCTTTTGTTAATCTCTCAAAATATAGACTTCTTGAAAGGCAAAATATCAGGCCAGATACTCACCTTTCTATCATTTTTAAGAACAAGTGTTCAAGCATTTGGTTTAAATATTGTAAAAATGATCATATTACAAATATATTAAATAACATTAAATGATTTTCAATGGTGTTAGTCAAACAAAATAAATATCATATGATTAAATATCATGGAATTTTAAAAGTCTATGAGAAATGAAAGATACTTAATCAAACTTTCATTAGAAACATAAGTAGGAAATTGATTTTTAAAAATATTGGAAAATACGAAGTTCATCAGTAACTTATAGTACATATGTTAACCTTGCTGATGTTGCATGATTTCAGAGCATCCTTATCTTTGATCACAATCTTCATAATCCCAGAAATTCTTTGAAGGTTCATTTTGTCAAGTCTTGAAAACTTTTGTATGTTAAATATTTTTTAATACCATGCTGATAAATCTAAGAAGGGAAAAAGTAGTATGCTTCTGCAAATCAACACCTATTGAGGAATTATGCAATTGATGTTAATTTAAAATATTTAGTTCGAATTAGAGCATTACTACATTAATAGTGCTGAAAATACACTTCACTCTGAGTGCTGTTTTTGACTTCGCAAACTACTACCACATGTGATTTCATCTATTCCTTACAACGACTAAATAACTGAGCAGTGAAGGATAATTAGACTTCGCAAATGTGAAAGGCAAATTTTTTAGAAAAAGAATCAGCGCAGAGAAGGGATTTAGCAAACGCCTAAAAAAAAAAAAAGCCCGTTGGATAATTATTTTGAATACTAGCACTGAAAGTCATCTCTAACTACTTTAATCTTACATACTGTGGAGTGGCATCATGATACATTGTGTATGACAAGATGTGGCTTTGTCAAGTTACCAGTAACTGAAATTGTTGTATATGCTTCTAGCATAAGGAAATTAACGATTCCACATTCCTCCTTTGTATCTCAAGTGGTACTTCAAGTGATCTGAAAAAGTTAATAAACTTTTGCTGTGTGTTTAACTTACTCCCAAAGAGTACTTGACATAAGACAGTAAAGCCCCTATCTTACGATATTATGGCTAAAATGTCATTTCTTTTGTGTAAAGCAATGGGTCTAAGTTCTCATGTGAGCCTTATTCTCAAAACAAAACAAAACCTCTTTGATGTTAACCTGTTTACAGATCTTTAATAAAACACCCTCAAATTATTATATAATTAAGTTTTTCAAGGAGTGAATAGAAACATTTATCTATAGACCTTAATTTCAGTAAATTGTTAATAATTTCACATTACCCAGGAGCATTATTAGTTTCTACTCAATTTAAAATCCTGTGTTAAAAAATGATGTATTCTCACTAAATGGCATGATTTCTAGTTAAATTTATCACAGTTTCTGGTTAAAATAGCAAATGCATTTACTTTAAAAGGAAAACATTCAAATGCAAAACTATAGTGCAAAGGGAAAAAAAAATCCACTGCCTGTTTAATGAGCAATGACTTTATAAGACTTATAAATCTAATGAGAACACCATTAGAAGTTTTTAAATTTTACTTGGTGATAAAGATAAACACCCCTTTGATAAAGGCAGTCTTGTATGTCTCCCTCTTTAGCTTGCATTAAGACGAACATAAAACTCATTCATTCAGAAAATGTGTATTAAATGAACGAAAACACCTTCATATGTCCAGGTAGATGCATAGGAATTTGTAGCCTGTGACTTAAACTTGATTAGCGTTTTCATAAATGCAAAATAAATTGCACTTTCTTCCCCTTTCCACTGAAAAAGGTGTGTCGTGGAGGAGAAATATCTTACAACCATTAAGGCACCTGCACCAAGGATGTTGTTTCGAAGGGAACTAATTTTAACATTAACTCAGTATACTAATTGAATATTTTATTTTAAATAATTTAGCAACATGAAGTTGTTCTCTACAACATTTCCCTAAAAACAAAGGAAACACTATTACCATTGAAAGAAAATATACAGTCTACTTTGAAAATATCATTTATCCATAGGTGGTCCTTTGTAAAATTAGAGAACATATCACTTTTTATGCAACACTGTCTTTTTTCTACAACAATTTTCATTTTTTAAATCTGCTGCTGCTAGTCCTAGGAGCTGGTCCTAGAATAGGGAAAGGCACTGCTGCAATGTCATGCTTTTTCCCTTATTATTTTATTTATGTTTCCTTCCAGTATACATATACATAAATACATATATATATAGTTATATATGTATATATATATACTGTTCCTGAGAAGGTTGATTTATGCACAGCATCAGAATTGCAAATTCCAATTTTCTATGTGAGTTCTCAAAATGATTTTTCGTTGAAAAGAAATAATAAATGACACAGAGCTTTTCAATAGTCCCTCAGAATTTGAGAGTTGCCTTTCCACTATGACCATCAGAACAGTCAGAATGAATAAACATCACATTCATAGACATGCTTCTTTTAGAAAACAGTCCACATGTGTTCGGCGAGTTAATATAACAATAGTATTCCTTTAATTCTCCATCGAGGGAGCACTTGTGCCTTGCTCTGGATCTCTCAGCAGGCAAAGTGAGAAACTTACTTGGCTTTATATGTGCTCTTTTAGATGTGGGCCCCTCTGTGACAGAATCGGGAGGTCGGCTAGCTAACTGCAGGGCAGTTGAGTTGTTCCTGTTAGTGTTTTGGGACTCAACATTTGTGACAGCTTCACTCTGTGGTTCGGTACTTGGCTTTGTGCCAGTCTTTCTTTTCTGCTTTTGGGACACAGAAGTGCTTGAGGTCCAGGAAGGAGGCAAAGCAGAGGTAGTGGTAGAGGAGTCCTGACTCGAACAAGTTTCTGAAGATTGAATCACATTGTCATTGGCAGCTTTACAACACTGGACATTCTCTTCGTGTCCCACAGCTTGTTTGGACACGGACTGGGGCAGCGTTACACTACAGCCTTGTATTTGAGCCCCATTAGTTTGAGAATAAACATTGCTAACCTTGGTGACCTTGTGTTGCCCATTATTGTTGCAAACCTTATACCGGATCATCAGAATAATGATGAATACCAGCACAGATGCTACAATGATTCCACCAATAATAATAATCATGGTGCCTCCCAAAAACTGGGACTGCATGAAATGGCAACGCACATAATCCTGTTCCGTAGTAAACTGGATGCAACCCACGACTCTTGTGGCAGTGAGGGAAGTGATGCCATCATCATATATGGCCAAGACACACAAGTCATACATAGTTCCAGCAGCCAGATTATTGACCAGAAAAGTTTTGCTCGTAGGAGGTATCATTCTGAGGGACAATGGAATTTGTGTTAATATTAATAACAAAACAAAATATATACACAGAAAGTCACTACGACTTTAGTTCAGTGTCATTTTACTATTCATTAAGGTAAGTACATTTATAACATATGAATTATTGAAAAATGATCTAATCTCATATTTACCGAGTTAAAATGGCTAAAAGTCCTTGTCAGCATCTGCACTATATTAATTGTTCCTACCCCAAGCCTTCACAAGCTTACTAATTACATTGCTTGGCAAAGGAGAACTCCTAATAAAAAACACTGCTAAAAAATCATTGATGATAAATTACTTTTGAAAGGTGTGACTGTGACATTATCTGACTGCTAAACAAATCCATTTAGCACTTACAATACCTCTACGACTAAAAGCAAATTTGAAGGAAGGGAAAATGTTGACAATCACATTAGAAATCTAAATAGATACGCATTTCAGAGTATTTATTTTCCATTTCAGAAAAATGAAATTGCACCCAGTAAATATATATTTAATAACTAAGATTATTACTAAGATTAAAGTATTTTCTTTACCAATCTAATCCTTTTTTAATGCCATCAACACTTGGACCCCATTATGTTTTTACCTATAAATGAGGATAATGAAAACATATAAGTAATATTATCCTAGAAACATGAACAAGGCAAGTCTGTCGACCACAGCATAAATTCCCTCATTCCATTTTATGCTACCACAAATTTCCATCGGAGCACAATTTATAAAGTATAAGAGTTTAGGTGGTGCCCAAATCTAATATCACCTAATTTCAGTGATACTTTCACTGCGATGGCTCATGCCTGTAATCACAGCACTTTGGGAGGCCAATGAGGGTGGATCAGTTGAGGTCAGGAGTTTGAGACCAGCCTGACCGATATGGTGAAACACCATCTCTACTAAAAATATAAAAATTAGCTGGGAGTGGTGGTGGGCACCTGTAGTCCCAGCTACTCGGCAGGCTGAGACAGGAGAATTGCTTGAATCCGGGAGGCAGAGGTTGCAGTAAGCCGAGATTGTGCCACTGCACTCAAGCCTGGGTGACAGAGCAAGACCTTACCTTAAAATTAATTAATTAATTAATTAATTAAAGAGTTTATAGACATCTGTGAATCTACTACTTTCTAAAAGTTTCTTGTTAATGTCTATTTTCCTCTGTTCCTTCAGTAGCAACTGAATATGACCTAATTTATAATTAAACAACAGGCATTACTAAGCATTTTGTATACATTAAAATTTAATCTTTACAATGACCTTATGAGACAGGCATTATCACTATTTTACAAATGACAAAAAAAAGTCAGGGATTCAAGAAATTTCCTCGAGGTTTAACAAAATTTTACTTGTCATTGCAGGATTAAAATCCTGGAATTTGGAAAATCAAATCTGGCTTATTTCACAGAGATAATGTTAAAAATATATATAATATCCAATAGTTACAGAAAAGTGTGGGGTGGGGAGGGGTATTTGTCATCGACAGTAGTCCATGGGTTATGTGAAGAGCCTGGTATGACAAGAGCAAATTACTTAAAGTTAATATACATGTATCATAGTCCACGTCCCCACATATTTAGTGATGAAGGGATAATTTCTCCCTTGTAATAACGAGGAATTGAAACTCAGCCAGGTAGAATCCTGCCCTGGGTTGATCACATGGCTAGCTAGGATAGGTTTAATTTTGCCTACTAGTCCATGCTTCAAAAAAAAAAAAAAATTACTCTCATTTCCATACAGGAATGAAAATCAATTATATTGAATAATTCACCTGGGGACATAGGAACTGATCTGATCTGATTTCTGAATATCTTAAACATTATATGTGTGTGTGTGTGTGTGTGTGTGTGTGTGTGTGTGTGTATATATGTATTATATATATTTCAAAGCCATGGTTTTGCATCATTTCCCAGGGCATAGTAAGTCTCTCAATTATATGAAAGGATAAAAATATGTCTTTTAAACAGAAAATTGGACAAGATGTGACTATAAATCAATGAGGCTGAACTTTAGAAAAACATACCAGAAATTCTTTAGTAGGTGCAAATTCCCCATCATCATCCTTACTTGGATATTACATACCTAATTCCAGTGATACTTTCACTGCTCAAATTATTTATAATGTTTCTTTTTGGAACTCTCTTAGAACCAATACACATGAGACAACACAACCAAACACACACACACACACACACACACACACACACACACCCCTTAATCACTCAAAAAATCAGTCTCATTATTTTATAGTTACATCCTATTTTTGACCAAAAATGGCAATACCCATCTTGATCACCCACCTTATTCACAAGACTTGACTCCAAATGGCTTTTGCTTGTTTCCAAAATTCAAATTCACCCTCAAAAGACGAAGATTTGCCACCACTGAGGATATTCAAAATAGTATGATGAAGGTTCTAAAGATAATTCCAAAAGTGCTTTGAGCAATGGCAGCATCATTGGGATAATGGTATAGCCTCCCAACATGACTTCCTTGAAGGAAAGAACACTCATTTGGATGTGTAAGTTCTGGTATGTTTTTGAATTTTTATTATAAATCAGTCTTGTTCTCTGATAGTCACATCTCTTAGATGAGGGGAAAAAAAAGTAAGTAAGCATAATATTAAGTATAAGTTGAACTCTCTAAAAATAATACCATTCAAAATATCTCCCCACTTGTATTACCACCTTTTTCAAAGCTTACACTATGCACTTTAAAATACGGAATTACAACACAGAAGAGCACTGCCAATTAAAAAAATCAGTAGTACATTAACAAGTTCTACACTAAGATGCATGGTAAGTATATAAATTTGCTTAATTTTTCTTACCTGTAAACAAGGGTGTCATCATAAGTACCATTGTACTGGATTTGAAACATACGTATTCCAGGGATATTTCTTTGAAAATTAAATTTAAGTAGTGCCGTTGATGATGTAGCTTCTGCCACCACAATTTTATCTTGACTCAATTTAGTATCACCATTACTACTGCTTGTATTAGACCCTGACTTGGTAGAAGTTGAGATATCTGAAGAACCAGGATCAGGCTCATGGATATGGTTTGTACTGTTTAGTAAGTGAGGGAGCTTAATTATATGAAGATCAACTATTTGTGTTGCTTCCCCAGCAGGATTGGAAGCAATGCAGGTAAAAGCACCTGTATCCTTTACAGTAGTTATAAGAATGTCAAGTGTTCCGTTATCATACACCAGAGATCTTGTTGCATTTGAAATAAGCTTTCCTTCAGGAGAAATCCAGTGAATTGCAGGCTCAGGGTCTCCCCTGGCTTTGCACCTCAGTGTTGCCCTTTGTCCCTCCAGGACTCTCATCTCATGTGTATGACGAGTAATGAGAGGAGGCTCACACAAAAACTCTTCTTCAGGAATTGACCAAAAGTAGCGGCCAGTTAAAAGTGGAGGAGAAGCACAGGTCTCTAAGTCATCTTCTCTGGACAGACGCCTCAACCACAACAATTCACAATTGCAATGCAAGGGGTTTCCACCAAAACTTAATGCAAAAGTAGATGGGCTTATGATTCCTGAGGTTGCTAGTACCTGAGCTCGCTGAAAGAGAGGGTCAGGTGGTAGCTTCTGCAATTTATTTGATGTCACATCTAACCGAGTCATCTTGTGCAAATGGGAGAAGGTCCCCTTAGGAATGTTATCAATCATATTGTGATCCAAACTAAGGGTATGCAAGCTAACCATCTTCTCAACAGCATCCCAAGGAATGGTTTCTAGATTATTATAGGACAGATCCAGCTCCTCAAGGGCGAAGACATCATCAAATGCTGTAGAGGAAATTAAAGTCAGCTGATTGTTGTTGAGTATCAAATGGTGAAGATTGGAAAGACCACTGAACATATCATTTGTAATTTTAGTCAATCTGTTGCTATTCAAATGCAAAGCCCTCAAATTTCGTAGGTCAGCGAAAGCATGAGGTGTAATAAAACTTATTGTATTCCTGGATAGGGTCAGGTCCACCAAGCTGGTCATATTGGCAAAATCTTTCCTTTTAATATTTGTAACAAAATTGTCTGCCAACCGCAGTTCCACAGTTCTTCTGTCAATGTTTGGTGGAACAAATAAAAGCCCTTTCTTGGCACAAAGGGTTGCAAGGTTAGGAGACAAAATCTGACAGACACAACGCTTTGGACAGATCTGAGCTTTCACTGCTATGCCAATGAAAAACAGATAAAAAAGAATTTTTTCCATTGTAGATCAGATTTAAGAGCCTGTAACAGAAGACACAAAATAGAATGTTAGCATCCAATGATTTAATTCATATTCATATTCCTACTAAAATAATATTTGTATGCAATGTAGAATAGAGAAGTAATTCCACTTGTTTGCTTAACAAGTATTAATATTTATTCTGTAGTAAAGGCCATAATGGGCAATAGGGATGAATCATACACCATTGACAGTTCCATGGGATTTAAAATCAAGTGGGAAAAACAAAGCAGTCAAAAGATTATTATAACTCTGCAAACTAAGTGCCATTTTTTAAGTATGTCCAGGGTACTCCATGGGTGAACCAAAATAGATATATGGCTGAGATTCTAGGCCTGGGAGTTCAGGAGAACATACCCTAGACCCTGAAGGACATTTTGTTACATAAAGATATCTAAAAAATTAGAGGCATATTTGAAGATTTGTAAGTAGGTCAATTCAGTAGCCTAAATGGAAACAATAAAAAACCAATATTTGTTAGCTTGCAGCATGACCTTGAAGACAACAAATTCTTGATTAATTTTTTTAACTTTACAAACTATCTTGACATAGATCAACCTTCACTTTTTTATTATTTTATTATTTTATTTTATTTTATTTTTGAGATGAATCTATCATTGTTGTCCAGGCTGGAGTGCAGTGGCGTGATCTTGGCTCACTGCAACTTCCACCTCCCGGGTTCAAGTGATTATTACCCTTCAGCCTCCCTAAGTAGTTAGGATTACAGGCGCCCGCCACCATGCCCAGCTGATTCTTGTATTTTTAGTAGAGACAGGGTTTGTCATGTTGGGCAGGCTGGTTTCGAACTCCTGACCTCAGGTGTTCCGCCCCCCTCAGCCCCCAAAGTGCTGAGATTACAGGCATGAGCCACTGTGCCCAGCCAATCTTCACATCTTAACTGAAAATGCAAAAATCTTATGCTCAAAAATAACAAAGTTGAATGCTTACCACAATAGCTCTGAGTTCCCTAAATATTAAAATATTTTATTGGTTATAAATGCGGACTTTTAAAGATAATTTCTGGGAAGCAGCCGTCAGTGGTTTCACTTAACAGTATGTTCAACAAGATATTATATTCAGTTTTCCTTTTTTAAAAATCTTAATGAATGTATATTTATCAAAATTTAATTTTAAATAAACACTTTGACAATTTTAATTTTTCTGTTTGACCTTGTGTATATGCTATTGAAATCAATCCTCAAAAATAATAATGGCATATATGTGATTAAAAGTTCTCATATGTTGCATTAAGTTTTTTTCTCTTTTTTTTCCGAGGCAAAGTTTTTCTCTGTCACCCAACCTGGAGGCTGGAGTACAGTGGTGTGATCATGGCTCACTGCAGCTTCGACCTCCCCAGCTCAAAGGATCCTTCCACCTCAGCCTTCTGAGTAGCTGGGACTACAGATAAGTGCCACCACCCTAGGGTAATTTTTTTTTTTTTTTTTTTTTGAGACAGGGTTCAAACTCCTGGGCTCAAGCAATCTTCCTGCCTCAGCCTCCCAAAGTGCCGCGAGTCCAGGAAGGAGCTACCTTACTCAGGCCGTTGCATGAAATTTTAAAAACCATGGGTGAAAATAGCTGTAGAAAATCATACATGTTTTCAATTTAATATAAATATGAAATCATCCTGGAAATATCATGCCTAGTTTTCTAATTAAAGCATATTTTATGACTTTTAATTATTTAATGCCTTTTGTAAGGTAAAAGCCCCTGATAGCAATAACTTAAACATATCCTTAGAATGACCCCAGATTGCAGAGGCACCTGAATGTGTGTCCTGAGCCAGGGAATCCAGGAGTGGCCAGTCCGGAGATTCATTCCTTGTCTATGAGAAACATCTGAGCCCCCAACCTGTCCAATGGAACACGGGCTGTACAGGGGATTAATGCCCTGAATTTTGGGTTACGGAGGCTGCTAGGTGGAGATCGTTAAGTGGTGGTGGGGAGATTGTTAAATGCTATAGAAATTGCAAGCAGTTGTGGTTTTCCTGACCAGCCTGCCACCACTGGACTGTACGTAAGGCAGATATGTTGTCCAGCCTGTGACCACTGGACTCTTCCCTGTATGTAATCCCCTAATCAAACCCCATATCTCACTTGCTGGCTCTGGGTCTCTTCTTCCGCTTCTTGAACCTGGATCCTTCCTACTGAGGTTAAGAGGTGTCCGGCACAACACCTATTTGATGCCATATGAAATGTGATCTAGTTAATAAAAATGATCATCATCAACAAATAAAGATATAATCTTCTGTTCATTACTAACTGGTATTAAACTAGCCTTTCCAAAATAAGCATTAACAAATAAAATTACAAAAATATATAAAACAACAAGTTTTAGACATTGGAAATGAATAAATACAGAACCGTGATCCTTGAGATAGTGAGTTAAAAATGAATTCTATAATTATCCCCGGAGACATTTTCCAAATCACAGCACAAGAAGGGGGAACAAGGCAACGTATAAATAGTCTTGTTAAACTGAAAAGACAAAGATTGGAGAGCACAGAGTCTCAGGTGGCTTGAATTTGTGGAGCAGTATCCTAATGAAAAGAGAGTTATTGAAGAAGGGCTCTGGTAATCTATGTAAGTGGAGGCAGGGTAATAGGTACAAACCATGCTGTAATACTGATAAAAAGGGATGAAAGGAAAAGGAACAAAAATCCAATGACCTGTAGAACGATGTTAAGAAGTCAAACACATACGTAATTGCAATATCAGAAGAATGCTGTTAGTCCGAAATATATTTAAAGAAATAAAAGCAAATAATTTGTTGAATGTTATAAAAAAAATCTATAAATCCAAGCTCAACACAATGAAACCATGCCAAGACATATCATCGTCAAATTGCAGATAACCAGAGGAAAAGTAATCTTAAATGTAGGCATAGAAATAAGACGGGATTACAATAAGGTAAGGTAAACAAAACAAAAGTAACTGCTGACTCCTCACTGACTTCTCATTGTAAATAAAGTGAGATGGAAGATAATGAAAAACATCTTTAAAGTGCTCCATGAAGAAAGGAAAACCTAGCAACCTAGGTAGGATTATACTTTCATAAAAGATGAAAACAAGGTAAGAAATTTTAAGAGAAACAGTTTCTTCATAAGCAAACCTGCACTTATATGAAAATGTAAAGGATAGTGTCTTTGGGTTGAAGGAAAATTACATATGATGGAAGAAACTTGAAACTTTATAAATGACTGAAGAACAACAGAAATGAACCATCTGTAGATATGTATGCAATATTTTTGTTTCATTCTAATGTGTTTATAAATAGTATTTCTGGAATAAATATAGAAAGTAATAAGAAACCATCACTGTCATCCTAAGCGAACAAAATAAGCTGGATAAGCTACAAATAATATTTTTAAAAATAGTAACATTATAACCTTTGGAATACAAATAAACTTAAAGAATCTAACTTCCAGAGGTGACAGTCCTTGATAAAAGGGAGGAAATGGCCAAGGGTGGTGGCTCACGCCTGTAATCCCAGCACTTTGGGAAGCACGGGGGACGAGGGCACAGATCACGAGGTCAGGAGTTCGAGACTATCCTGGCCAATATGGTGAAAACCCGTCTCTACTAAAAATACAAAAATTAGCTGGGCGTGGTAGTGCACACCTGTAGTCCCAGTTACTGGGGAAGCTGAGGCAGGACAATGGCATGAACCTGGGAGGTGGAGGTTTCAGTGAGTGGAGATCACGCCATTACACTCCAGCCTAGGTGACAGAGCAAGCCTCTGTCTCAAAAAAAGAAAAAAAGGAAATACATAGCTGTTGTCTATTTCCTCCACCAACAAAATAGAAACTAGGACATCCTATCTATCTGACATAACTTGGGATAAAAGGAATCCTGCCTACATTTTACCAAACTTTTAAGAATGCATTTGTGGTTGGATATAACAAAATAGAATCCACAAGAGCCCCAATAGTAACAGTGAGAAAATATTAACACCTATCTCATTCTTGTTACTTTCATGAATAACAGAAATATTATCTTAAAAAATATGGGAATAGAGAGAGGATAGAGATAATTTCTCTCAGATACATGTTATTTTCAGATGAGAAAAAAAATGAGGAAGGAAAGGAAAATTGAAAGAAACATTTCGGGCAAATTTGCTTTTCAGCTTGGAAAGAATGGGAAAAATGCAGAGGAACTGGAAGAAAACTACAGTCCCTCAGGGATTTCATCTATCAGGATTGATGGAGGGGTGGGAGAGCTCAGTCCCCTTCATCTCCCTACAAATACTCCTGATTTTAACCACAAAATGCCTAGGGTGACATTGGGCAGCTGAAAAATCCTTCCTAGAGCTTCCTAGAGGATATCTCCACCTTTGTAGACTATGGGTAGCTGCAGCCAAAAGAAAAATAAAAATACTAGGGGTGAGATTTGAGATTAAAAAAATTCTGCTAGGCCACCAACAAATCTGGCCCCAAAGCTCTAAAGCAGGGTGGTGAGGCCTCCAGAAATTTAGAGATCAAAAGATTCATCGGTAAAATAGAGATAGATCTCGAAAACCACCGTAGGGCACAGATCTCAGGTCTTACTAAATAGGAAATTCCCAGACATGTAAGAATTCACTTCACATAAAAACCTGAAGAAGCAAGAAAAAGTGACCAACATTAAAAAGAAAGTGATTAATAGAAGCAGATCCAGAGACACCCCAGATATTACAATTACCAAAGGAAGCATAAAATTACTGTAATAAAAATTCTAACGTGTCTATAGGAAAAGAAGGACATCACGCATGATTTGATGGGAAATTTTAGCAGAGATGTGAAAAACAATTTTTAAATGTATACGATTTAAAATCTTCGTAACAGAAGATTGGGCAGAGCAGAAGAAAAGTATAAATGTAACCGAAGATAAATTAATAGAAAAAAAAACTAAAATCAGATTTTAAAAAGCCTGAGAGAACAGAACAAAAAGCATTAGATCTGAGGGAAAAATATTTGAATGATTAATATTATCATAATTTTAATCACTCTCAGAAAGAAAGGGAGAATGGGGCAGAATAAATAGTAGAAGTAAAAATACCTGAAGAGATTCCAGAGTTGATGACATTGATAATATAAAAAGACCAATGCAGCAGACAACCACCTGGGCACAAAAGAACAAATGGCTGAAATCCAAATATAAAGATAAAAATTTATTAAAAGAGGCAGAGAAAAAGGTATTGCATGCATGGAGAATAACTGTAGAATTTACAACTGAATTTTCATCATAATTAAGGTCAAAAGAAAATGAAATAATATATTTAAAATTTATAAAGAATAAAAGAATATACTTTAGAATTTATATCCAATAAAAGTATCCTTCAAAATGCATTAAAAAGTATTTACAGCTAGGCAAAATCTAAGAAAAATTTATCTCATATTCTGTGCAAGATGTAACAACAGCAGTTCACCAGTATAGAAGGAAAAGAGAAATAATGAACCCAGTGGGAAAATAGAAAATCATTGCCAAGGTAGTAGACTTAATCCTAAACTACATGAAAAACTTCAAACACGAATGGGATGTAAAAGTTAAAGGCAAAGATTTTTATCCTGCCTAAAATAACCAGGCCATCCATGAAGCATTCAGAAAAATGCATGTTGAAAATAAAGATATGAATAACTAAAAGTAAAAGGCTGAAAAAGATATGTCATTAAAACACTGAACATAAAAAGCTGATGTGGCTATAAATTAGAAAAAGGCAAACAGTATATCAGAGATAAATATGGGCATTTTATAGAGTAAAAGGATCAATTCATCAAGAAACCATGAAAACATTGAATGTACACGAACTTAGCAAAAGATCTTCAAAATACATGAAATGACACATGACAGAAAAAAGGGAATTTTTTTAAATCCACAGTTACAATTGGAGATACAAACTCCTCTCTTTCATTATTAATTGATAGAATAAGCTGAACAAAAAGAGAGAGCTGTAGCTATAAAAGATTTACACAGCACTATCAACAAACCTAACCTAATTTACAATTATAAAATATAACTTCAATAAACAGATAATACACATTCTATCTAGATTCTCATAGAACTTTAGCAAGACTATTAAATTGAAATTAAATTAAATTAAATTAATTAAATTGAAATTAAAGTATAATAATTTATGGTATAAAATGTAGTGTGTTTGAATTGTTATGGTAATTCAGATTAAATATATTGTTAGAAAGAAAACATGATATAAAATCAGTTATCTAAGCTTGATACCTAAGAAGCTAGAAAAGAAATATAAACCAGAGTAAATAGAAGAAATGAAACTATTAGAATGAGCAGAAATGTATAAAATAGAAATCAGACCAAAAAATAGAAAAAATACATAAAGTCAAAAGCTGTTTTTTAGAAAAGATTGAGGGCCAGGCACAGTGGCTCATGCCTGTAATCCTAGCACTTTGGGAGGCCAAGGCACGCAGACCATGAGGTCAGGAGATCAAGACCATCCTGGCTAATACGGTGAAACCCCGTCTCTACTAAAAATACGAAAAATTATCCGGGCGTGGTGGTGGGCGTCTGTAGTCCCAGCTACTGGGGAGGCTGAGGCAGGAGAATGGTGTGAACCCAGGAGGCAGAGCTTGCAGTGAGCTGAGATCTTGCCACTGCACTCCAGCCTGGGCAACAGAGTGAGACTGTCAAAAAAAAAAAAAAAAAAAAAAGTTGATAAAATTGATCCCTGCAAGATAATTAAGAAAAAACGAGAGAAACTAATAATTGCCAATGAGAAGAATAAGAAAATACAGAATTCCCTGTCATACCAATATATATACTCAATACTATAGATGAAATGGACAAATTCATTGAAAAATGTAAATTACCAAACTACTAATAGACGAAAATGTATAGGCAACAAGATACATAGAAAATATAAACAATATCACATTTGTTAAGGAAACTGAATTCAAAATCAAAATCCTCTCATAAAGGTAATTCCAGATCAAAGTGGAGATCTAATTGTCCACCAATCTATCATAATATAAATATATGATATATGATCAGTTACGTATACAATTTAAACATGTAATATATAATTTTATATATAACTATAAATACACATATACAGAAAGAGAGAGAGAGAAATAGAAGGAAGACAAGGAGAAAATGAGGAAAGCAAAGGCAGTATTTGTGAGTATTTGGGGATCTGGGTAAAGGGTATACAGAAATTCTTCATGCTATTCTTGCCACTTTTTAGTAATTGTGAGTAGGTGATTAATTTTTTTTTTTTTAAAAAAGGAAGTAGTGATTTTTCATTATATTTCTAAATATTTGTTCCAAAGGAAGAAGAATATATTAAAGAACATATTATCTGTAGTTAATCAAAACTTAATCGAATTTTAGGAACATAAATATTCTTAACTTTGCATATATGTTCAATGAGGTGATTCCATTGCAACTTAAATTATATTTCCTATTTCATAGCTTGATTTACTTTTTATCATCAGTCAACATATATACATCACTACAGATATGGTAATTTAGAAAGTAAGAGTAAGTGTAGAATAAAATCTGGACAACTCCCGTAAGTCTATCTTCTATTTGAGACCTCTAAGTAATGAAAAAAAAATCATATAAATTGTGATTGATGACTTTTCCCAAGTTATTTGGACAAGGTGAAGATTTCAAAGTTTATTAAAAAATAAGAGGTAAGATCTCATGTAAAGAAGCATAGTTTTCATTTCCTACAAGTTCACAAACTGATCCTTGACATATTTATTATATTAATACATAACCTCTTTAAAAAATCAATGTAAATGGAAAGTCAGAATAGCTTTCTTACTTTTCTGGAATTAATAATTTAAAAATTCATAAATATGAAACATACTATCTATATTTTTAATCTAGTTAAGTAAAGCCATTTCAAGCACGATCTGTCTATTGCTTTCTCCAAATAGTTAAATATAAGCAACATAAACAAGTTTTTGTTAAATATTCGAGTGGAACTGTAACTCGGCAAATAGTGATGCAGTTGCAGCTCTTTAGATAATATTTACATATCTTATTATTATATGTTATTTGAAGCAAATTCTGTTCCGACAAAGAAGAGTCTATTACACATAAACTGAAAAATGATTTTCCATCACTACATCCATCTTTCTGTCATGGCTATTACATAACATATGCTTAAGAGTAGCAGTACTTCTCTAGGAACCAGGATGGAATATAAAAGCAAATTTAGATTTTACAGCCAACTGAGAGTAAAGCCTATTCTCTGCAGAAACCAATATGGTAGCAATTCATATGCTGAGTTAAAGGAAAGCTATTGGGCTTCTCCATAGCTACCTTGCCATCATTCAGTAGAACTCTATTAATTCAATTAGTGCCCGTTCATCTCAACTAATGCCTGAGGACAAAGATTAATGTCTGTTGATGTTGATGAGTTTTTGTAGGATGTGTTAAATGGCTACAGTATTGTAAAGGATATTTTATAATATAGCTGAGATGTTGAAATGCCTTTAATAGTTTTATTTCAAATATTTTAGGTTTTCTGTCTAACTTTTTTCTAGAGAGACTATAAATGCTAACATTATAACTTTATTTTTCATTAAAATACATACTAATGATGTTATTATTGAGCCTATAAAATTCAGGCCTCAAAATATTATATATATAACCTAGAACAATTACATTTTGGTATTTGATTATAACAGTCACTAGTAATATGGCTAAGTACATTGAATGTAATAAATTATTAAAATTCACCCATGCATCAATTAATTTATCCTTTCATTAATATTTTCAGGAAGATGTATTTAGCAACTGCAACATATACAAGGCGCATTGCAGGAATCTACCAAACTTAGAGAGTGAGGATCTGTGTAAAACAGGTATTTAAACAATTAAAATAGATGGCCAACTACAAAAATGTTGACTTATTATACTTTGATATTTAAATTTGCATAGTCCTAATTGGTTTCTGAGCTCTTATTGTATCCTGTAATTTTTGTTCTCAACATGTGCGTGTGTATATCTACACACACACACACACACGTATTTGTACCATGATATAAATTTACATAAACATTATTTGCATAAATTAACTCCACATAAGAGATCAATTACTTATACAAACCAAACAATTTAAAAAATAATAGCTATCATTTATTGAAGATAGGTAAACACAAAGTAAGTAATAATTTCTTTATTTTATAGATGAGGAAACAGAATTTGTCATGATCATGGCTTCTCTAACTTGTGCCTTCTCTGACTTGTAGATATGCAAATATTCCAGATATTCATTGCTTTCTAAAATTGAGGTGCAGGCTGCATAAAAAGATATTGTATGTCATTTTGAAAATTTATTAGCAAGGCATAGTATTCTGCACCCGTGATCCCAGGTACTCAGGAACCTGAAGCCGGAGGATAGCTTGGGTCCAGGAGTTCGAGGCTTCAGTGAGCTTTGATCATCCCACTGCACTTCAGCCTGTGCAACAAAATGAGACCTTGACACAAATAAAATAAAATAAAATAAAATAAAATAAAATAAAATAAACTTATTCAATATATATTAATTTTGTTAGCTTACATTAGAAAGCTAACATGGACTTGCCATACTATGTACTTATCCCAAATTCTATTTAATACTTGCACAACTGCATATAGTTACTTTATTACCATTTTATATGATAAAACTGAATTTAGGAAATGTAAGCGATACTCTCACAGTCATAAAGAAAGTAAACAAAAGGTAGTTTTAAGAGAGAGAGAGAGAGACAGAGAGAGAGAGAGAGAGAGAGAGAGATCTATTTCCCAAAGCCATGTTCTTCCTATTATACTAGGTTGTTAGTGGTAAATATTATTTATATTGTGTTTTTCTGATTATGTAGAACTTTCATATAAAGGATTTTTAATTCTCATATTGTAAACAATGACACTTTACATTCATTATGTCATTTACTCATTTATTTTATTTGTCTCTCTTTACAATCAAATTACATTTTAAAGGTGCTAGCAGATTATTGTGGTTGTTAACCAAAAAGTGATTTCGATGAGTGTCTCAATTGATAGACGTTGTTTAGCCAAAGTGTGAGGATGCTTCAGGGAAAAACACAAGGCATAGGAGCCTCTGTATTGTGCACTTTTCCCAAGAGGGTTTTGGAAACTTCAGTATTTAAAGGAGAAAGAGCA